ACCAGTCCTTTCCGCAGGGAGGCCGTGCCCGAGCAAGAAATTCTCCATCAAGTTGGCCCCCTGCTTCGACGCCGTCCGGTACAGCGCCCTGTCTGCGGAGCGGTAGGCGCCGCCGGCCACCAGCATGTTGGCGTTCTCCTCCATCAGGAGGTCGAACTCCTCGAGGTCGGGGGGCGAGGCTCACTGCTCCCCCCTCTCGACCCCCTCGCGCCGCGCACCCAAATCACGGCGGGGGGCTCTTCGCTGTGTTCGGCCTCTGGGGGCCGCCCTGCCAGGCGACGGGGATACTCTGACCCGGGTCAATCCAAGCGTCGGGACAGTCGGGCCTTTCAGGATCCCGCACAATCCTGCAAGATCCTGCAAGACCCTGCAGGATCCCACAAGATCCTGCACCCAAGCCCGAGTCAGTGAAGCCCTGTCCTTTCACACTCCTGCGAGATCCGGCGGTCTGCTTGACCCCCGTTGAGTCTGAAAACGGCTCGGGATGCAAAGCCAGGTCCAGACTTCCGTGGCCCACGCCAGGGAAAAAACACAACGTCGGGGGTCCAGGCCGCGTCCTCCACAGGATCCTTCCTCTCCTTCTTCCTCCTCCTCCTCCTCCTCCTCCGTCCTCCGTCCTCCTCCTCCTCCTCCTCCTCCTCCTCCTCCTCATGTTCCTTCTCCTCCCCCTCCTCCCCCTCCCCCTCCTCCTCCGCCCCACTTCCTCGTCGCTCTCGCCTCCCCCCCCCCCGTTGGTGCTCTGCTCCCCTGCCACCTCTGCTCCCCCTTATACACCCTCCCTCTCCCGCCCTTCCCCCTCTGCTCCCCCTTCTACACCCTCCCTCTGGCCGATAATGCTCGACCTCCTCGGGCACTCCGGCTCCTCTGCGCCCTTCTCCCTATCCTCATCTTCCTGCTCTCTCTCGACGTCCTCCTCCCTCCCAGTCGTCGTGCTCATCCTCCAGCTCCTGCTTGAACTCTTCCCACCTCCTTCATCTTTGACAAAATAACCTTTCGTTGCCTCCTGCTCCTTTACCCTCCTCCTCCTCCTCCTCCTCCTCCTCCTCCTCCTCCTCCTCCCCATCATCATCACTAGCCTCTTGCTCCTCCCAATACTCCTCCCCCCTCCCCCACATCCTCCCAAGTTGTCGTTGTCGCCGTCGCCGTCGCCGTCGTCGCCTCCTCCTTTTCCTCCTCCTCCTCCTCCTCCTCCTACTACTTCTCCTCTTCGTCCTCCTGCAGAGGCCACAGCAAGGAAAAAACGTACGTACAGAAACATCGAAAAGGACTGTGACCCAAGCCTCCGACGCCGTGGACCCGTGGACCTTCAACTCGTGGCCCTCCGACATCTCGTCCCAATCCCCAGGATAGATGCTTTCTTCCAGAGGGCCGTGTTCTGCAGGCCGTGCGACCGAACGCGAGGACAGCGATGCTGGAGCTCTGGCTGCCTCCGGGGGGGGGGCCCCAGACCTCTCCTCCAAGGGCTCGCTCTGGCCAGGCCTTCGGGGCGAACTCGGCACTGGCGGCGGGAAGACTACGACGGGCGAGTGGCCACCGAAACGCTCGAGGCTGGAAGAGGAAGAAGACGACTTCCGCGGGAGGAGGGAGGCGCCGGAGGCCCCGCCCGACCCCCGCCGCCCTGGAGGTGGGCCCACGTCGCGCGCCGCCGCCCTGGCGCCCCCGAGGCCAGCCTCACGCCTCAGGGCCTCGGTCTGCAGGCTCGCGCCATCCGAACAAGAAGCCAGCAGGCCTGGCGCCTTCCTCCTCCTCCTCCTCCTCCTCCTCCTCCTCCTCCTCCTCTTCCTCCTCCTTCTCCTCCTCCTCCTGCTCCTCCTCCTCCTCCTCCTCCTCCTCCTCCTCTTTCTCCTCCTCCCTCCTCTCCTCCTCCTCCTCCTCCTCCTCCTCTTCCTCCCCTCCTCCTCCTCCTCCTCCTCCTCCTCCATCTTCGGTAACCAAGGGTATCGGCGCATCGGTAACCAAGGGTACACGCGTCTCTTCTTCGTCTCAGCAAGGCAGAGGCCGCACGGGCGCTCGAACTGTCGGGGTCGCTCGGCGAGCCAATCGCCCGGCGCTTCGTCACGGTGCCCGCTGCTGGCTGGGCCTCCCGCGGGATCAGGCGAACCGGGGCGTGGGGGGAAGACAAGTCGGACGAGAGACAACGAATCGGCACGCGTGGTATGTCTTCTTGGCACCTCCCGGCGCGCCCATGTGCACCCAGGAGAAGCAGCCGGTGGCGGGAACGAAAACAGCTGCAGGTCTACCCCACTGGCCCAGCCCGAAAGGAGGGAGGGCGAGGAGGAAGCGACTGTGGAGCGGCCGCGCCGATCCCGCGCGATGGCCCACGCTGCGAGGCGAAGGCAAGGGTCGCCCCATCTCCCGATGTGAAATCGAAGCCTCGCCCCCCAAACCACCCAAACCGAGGGGCGCCCGCCCCCCAGTTCGAAAGCTGGGCGAGGGCTACTAAAACCGCGGCTGCAAAAACGGCCCTCCCGGAAGAAAAAAAAGGTCCCGGAATGAGGCGCGGCATGCGAAACAGTCAACGGGCTTCTTCCAATAAGGACGAAGACAACTTCTTGAGGTCGATTTTAGCAGCCACGGATTTAGCAGCCCTTGCCCAGCTTCCGACCAGCCCCCGTCCCCCCACTGGCTTCCTCGGGGCCCCTGCCCCGAAGCTCCAGAGGTCCCGCCGGAGGAGCTGCACTGCACCAGGGTACGGTGAGGCCAGGCTGGGCCTCCGATCTGCTGGTCCTTGCGGCTGCTGATGCTGCTGCTGCTGTTACTACTGCTGCTGCAGCTCCTGCTCAGACTGCTGCTGCTGCTGCTGCTGCTGCTGCTGCTGCTGCTGCTGCTGCTGCTGCCCTCTCTCTCTCTCTCTTTATCTCCCTCTCTCTCTCTCTCTCTGTATATGTGTGGGTCTGTGCAGTAGTGTGTATGGTTGCATTGCTTCCTGCAAGTTCGCACTGAGATGATTCCTGGACGGTCTTCAAGACATTCCGCACTGGGGACGTGCAACCTGATCGACTGTCTTTAGATACCGACCGGCCGACCGAGGAGAAGAAGACGGGAAAGGGGCAAGGAGGGGGCGAGGGGAGGACGAGGACGAGGAGGAAGGAGGCAAAGGGGAGGAGAGGAATGCGGAGATCGGAGGAGGATGGGGGGGGGGGAGGAGGAGGCAGGCGGGGAGAGGCGGAAAGAGAGAGGAGGAGGAGGATGGGGGGGGGAGGAGGAGGAGGAGGAGGAGGAAGAGGAGGAAGGAGGAGGAAGGAGGAGGAAGGAGGAGGGAGAGGCATGAGGGGGGAGGAGGGAGGTGGCGGGGAGAGGAGTGGAGCCAACTTCGGATGCCAGTCCGTTTCTCTCTCTGAACCCGGGAAAGTGTGCTCGACCCACTGGCCTTCTTCTCGGCTCGGGGAGGGGAGAAGAGGGATCGGAGGGGGGGAGATGGGGAAGCCGTGCTCCTCGAGGAGGGGGGGAGGGGGGGAGCGGAGGAGGGAAGGAGGGAAGGAGGGGAAGGAGGGGGTTGGGTGAGTGATGGAGAGAGGCGGGGGGCGAGAGCTCCTCGAGCATGTTGCCGCAGGCGGAGAGGAGCAGCAGCGCCCCGCCGAGGCCCGCGGGGTCCAGCGCCAGGCGCAGCGGCGCGGGCCTGCTCGGGAGGGGCGCGGCAGCCGAGTGGTGTGGCCATCCGGCTGGCAGCGTCGTGCGCAGAGGAGGAGGAGGAGGAGGAGGAGGAGGAGGAGGAGGAGGAGGGGGAGGAGGAGGAGGAGGAGGAGGAGGAGGACGAGGAGGATGAGGAGAGGAGGAGGAGGAGGAGGAGGAGGAGGAGGAGGAGGAGGAGGAGGAGGAGGAGGAGGAGGAGGAGGGGGAGGAGGAGGAGGAGGGGAGGAGGAGAGGAGGAGGAGGAGGAGGAGGAGGAGGAGGAAGGAGGAGGAGGAGGAGGAGGAGGAGGAGGGAGGAGGAGAAGGAGGAGGAGGAGGAGGAGGGGGAGGGGAGGAGGAGGGGGGAGGGGGAGGAGGAGGGAGGAGGAGGGAGGAGGAGGAGGATGGAGGAGGAGGAGGAGAGAGGAGGAGGAGGGAAGGAGGAGGAGGAGGAGGAGGAAGAGGGGAGGAGGAGGAGAGGGGGAGGAGGAGGAGGAGGAGGAGGAGGAGGAGGAGGAGGAGGAGGAGGAGAAGGGGAGGAAGAGGATGGAGGAGGAGGAGGTGGAAGAGGAGGAGGAGCCGTAGCCATTTTGGCTCAAGTACACAACCGTGCACTGCGGCTTCGTGCTTGGCCGCAGCCGCGGGGCTGGCTCGAGGCGAGCCGCCCACAGGATCTGCTGGCCTTCGCTCCCAGTCTGCCCAGTGCTGCCGCCTGCCGTGATGGGCCGTAGCTGGAAGAACTGCAGCTGGGGTGATGCGTGGTCTCAGCCCACGCGCGGGAACCGCAAGGCCAGGAGCTACGTCGCCTGTGATGTGCATCGGAAATGGGCGTGGGAAGCTCGGCTCAAGAAACGTCCGCTTTGTTCGCGCGGTCATCGTCTCGGTGCTGCTCCTCATGATGTGCACCAGTCTGGGCAGCAATACACGCTGGAGCAGGTGGTCGAGCTCCTTGTCAAGTCAGGGCCCCCGATCGCCCCAGAGGCAATCGAGCAGGTCGAGGCCAACGTGGGGCGGCGGCCGCACAGCCTACTGCCAAGGATCTTTCCGCAGCGTTCAAGTTTGGGCGTTGGCAGAACTGCGTTTAGTGGGGCCTGGTTTCGTGATGTGTACTAGGGGACGCCCCCCCCCGCCCCGTTCCACTACCCGGAACCGCCGTCACCAGAAACAACAATACCAGCTACGGCAGATCCAGTCCGTTGGCTCTGGCCGGTTTAGGGGCTCCAGGGCCCTACCTGGGGGTCCTGGCTGTACCCGACAAGTTACGCCAGGCAGTGGTCGAGCGAGCAGTCGATCATGCTCAGACCGCCGACGGCAAGTTGCAGGAGCTCGAGCAGCAACTGCAAGACGCCAAGCACCTCCCGACGCAGGCAGTGAGAGCACCGGTCCAAGCTCGAGCTCGGGCTGCTGCTGCAGGTCGTGAGCACGCAGCCGCCGACCATCGCCGGGGTGAAGACCCTGACGACGACAACCCGTTCCAGGCGTCCGCCGACAGCGACCTCGGGGCCATCAACCAGCAGAACATCGACAAGCTGCGCGGCATGGTCCAGGGCCGCCCCAAGTTCCAGCGGCTCCTCGAGAAGGTCGAGTCGCGCGGCCAGGCGCGCCAGGCGCGCGGCCGCGGGGAGGGCGAGAGGTGGTGGTGGTGGTGGCGGTCAGCCACAGCCGCCCCGCGCCTGCCCCCCTAAGGAGGGCCTGCAGCCCCAGCCGATGTCCGCCATGCAGGTGCAGGCGTTGCTGCGGCTGTCGCCGCCCCGCCAGCCGTCGCAGCACGCGTTCTGCATCCTCCGCAGCCTCCACAAGCGCAGTACCCTCAGCCCCTAGGTCGGGTACCTCAGTTCGGGTAGCATCAAGATCGACCTGGCCAACATCACGAAGGGGGGAGGAAGGCAGAGGATTTCTTCTTTACCAAGGACACCAATGATACGTACCTCAAAGGCACCCGATTTTGATATCTTCATATTGACCGAGGTTCATACGTCTGGAGGGAACTTGTCTAGGCAGCGGAAAAAAAGCATCTTGGGATACCTACGCGTGCCCAGTTAGTCCTACTAGAGGAGGCACTGATGCAGGTGTCTTGGTTGGGACCAGGACGCAACTACACGCGCGTGCTAGATTCATGGGGGCCAGGGGCAGGGCTACACCATTGGTTCTGGTGTACACAATGGAACAATTTTGTCTAAAAACCAAAAGGTTGGCATCCTGATTTTAGGCACGTATCTCTGGGACTCCATAAACTACGCGGGGGAGAATGTAAAGATCATCCGTGAGCTCGTCACCTTCGTTCGCCGGATGCGCATGCCCTACATCCTGGGGGGCGATTTCGACATGCCGCCGGCGGCCTCGGGGCGGACAGGAGTTCTAGGGAGGATTGACGGGGTTCTATCGTTGGCCGATGCTCCCTATAATGACCGAGATGGGGAGACCACCATCGACGACTTCATTATCGATAAGAGGCTTGCTTTGGAAGCTGAAGTCACTGGGGACCTCGAGGGGCCATGGGCACCCCGCATCCCTCTCCAACTCCAGCTCAAACGAGCCGCTCTTGAGACACGTATCTGGGCTCTTGAGAAGCCCACCTCTCTTCCTCAAGCCCTGGGGCCTCGTCGCGAATTGGAACATTATTTTGGGGAAGCTGTCTTGGAGGTCGCCCACATAGGACTCCCGCAATATCCAGCTTGCCACCGCCATCACCCGCAAGGCTTCAGTGACCTCGACGCCCAGTTGCGCAGGGGAGTGGAGCTCCAGCAGAAGGACATCGCATGCGAATACACTTGGTCGACGCGCGGCTCCTGCCCCTCTGTTACCTGGAAGAAATTGCTGCCGCCTGCTCCGAAGCAGGGGCAATCGGCCTCCTTATCACATCAATGGGGATACCTCGCAATGAGGGCTCAGGAGCGTGACCCTAAGCACAAGAATGGGGGCCACTAGAGGTATCCACAAGAGAAGGCTCCAAACGTTCACCACTGCCTTCCGCAAGAAACTCCCTGAACAAGATATCCCACCTGATAATGAGGAGGTTTCGGGCAGATATTTGGCAGGACACGGCGACGACGCCGTAGTTGAGAAGGCCATAAAGCTCATGGATGGCACACAGCACAAGTACCACCTTGAGAAGCTGAAGGCGTCTAGGGACGGTTTCCAGGAGTTCTTGCATGAGGCCCTCAAGAAAGGAGGGGGGGGGGGGCCGCTCATGCGATTACCAAGGCTCAGTCAGACCTCCCCGGGCCCCTGGATTCCAACGTGGACCCCCGCGGCGACATCGCCGACGACCCCAAGGCGGTCATGGATCACAAGATGGATTTCTGGATGGCTGAATGGGGCCCCAAAGGCCACCAACGCCCAGCCCCTGTGGCGCCCTACTGGATGACCAGGATTGTTCGGGATGCCGTGGACTCTTGGGACTGGGACTGCTCTCCATGGGACGTTAAGGAGATATTTGAAGTCGTACCCCTGTACTCCCCGAAGGCGGCACCAGGCAGAGACGGCTGGAAAGCCATAGACTTCCTGCTGCTTCCGCCCGAGGGCCGCCATCTTTTCGCCACTTTCATCAACCTGATCATTACGAACGTGCAATTCCCGAGTCAGGTGTTGCTCAATTGTATTCTTGCAGCCGAAGAATGAAACGTGTTACGGGCCCCTCACGCTGGCGTGTGGCCTCTATCTAAGCTCGCAAGCTTTTTCGCTTTGAGTTGTCGTGTAGTGGGACACCGCCAAGGCTTGACTTTGGGACCAGGCCCTGAAGGTAACGAGCCCTTGAGGGCTGCCGTACTTTCCGAAATGTTCGCTGAGATCGCCAACGCGGGGGGGGGGATCCCGATGACCGGGGCCCTCCTTGATGTGGAAAAAAGGTTCCGACACACTCAATTTGGATGTGTGCGCGACCCGCGCCGTCAAACTGGAGGACCCTAAACTTCCCCTGGCTCTTGCTCTGGATGTTTCGGGTCGGGCGAAAGGGGGGGATAGCAAAAGGGGGGTTTGAGAATCAGCTCGCGTAGCTGATTCTCCCGGCGCCTCCGGGCGCCAGAGGCGGCTATGTATCGAGGAATGGGCCCCTCGGTGAGGCCGAAACCAGCTGCATGCAACAAATTTCGTACCCCCCCCTTTCCCAATCCCCCCCTTTCGTCCGGCCCGCATGTTCACAGAGCCGCTCGCGCACTCACAGCGGAAATCGGGTGCTCCAAGTTCGGGATGCCAGACTCGCCGATCTTGCAGAGCGGTGGGGGCAGCGCTGCTCCCTCGCGAGAGCCTTTTTTTGCATAATGTTCTACTGAAGGGGCCCCAGGACACACAAATAAATACACACAGATAAAAATACGCCCCATCTTTTCCCATATGTTCTAGGTTTCTGTCTTCCCCCCACTTCCCATTTTTTCCCATATTCTCCTGGGAGTGGACGATTAATTGTGTCTGTGTGTTCTTGTTCCCCTCCTGATCTGCATGGCCTTCCATCATCGCTTCAGGCGCCTCTCGCTCCCCGCATCTGGGTCGACGACCTCCATGCGCGCACGTGGGCCTCGGAGAAGGCCAGCCGCGAGCAGCTCCCTCAGGCCATCGCATATCGGGAGCGGCCAAGAGTGAAGGGGCCCCAGGACACACAAATAAATACACACAAATAAAATGATTCCCCATATTTTCCCATATTTTCTGGGTTTCTGTCTTCCCCCCCACTTCCCATATTTTCCCATATTTTCTGGGGAATCGAGGATTAATTGTGTCTGTGTGTTTCTTTTCCTCCTGAAAGAGGGGGGTGTCCAAAAGGGGGGGGTGCAGATCATGACCGGCGGCATGTGCGCGGCCGAGCGGGGGGGCCTGGGACGCAATGAAATGAGAAGAGGCGCCATGACATCTGGGGAGATATCGTGGCCCCCGCCATGATATCCACCCCCCCTAGTCATCATCCCCCTCTTTTCCGCCCCCGAGCAGACCTTGCCCTGTCACTCAAGAATGTCGGGTGCCAGCTTTCAACGAAGAGTTGCACCATGGCGTCGTCGCCCTCCCTGGCCAGTGC